TGTCCGTGCCGGTGTCAAAACCTGGTCTCTCTCTGGTCCAACACTCTACCCATTGCCCTGTTGGAGGCTTGTTGTGAACAGAGCTACAAATTACACAACAACACTGTGACGGCTTTTTATACTGAGGAGGAGTCTCACCTGGGAGTTGTTAGGTAAGGGGCTGAACTCAGGTTCTGGTGGGTTGTTGTACGGCTTGTGACATCACAAAATGACGGAAGTATAAAACTTGTCATTAATACACATTAAAAATACATTTACTTACAGTAAATATGCCCCTGGGTGCATTTTTTGGTCATAGGACTGTTTTTTKAAGAAGTACAKACCCAAAGTTGAATAAAAAAAACTTTAAAGGGGACCTATTATGCAAAATTCACTTTTTAAACAGCTGCAACCCGAATGTGATTCCTGGTGTGTGGGTGCTTAGCAGAAGTGCAGGGGTCATAGATGCTAACGCTATGCACCATCTAGTTTGTTGACTTCAGGAACCACCAGACATCAGCACCACTCCACAAATGAACCGTTGATAAACTGAATATGAAGAATGAGGATGCAATGCAGTGTTATAACAAAACATTTTTATTACAGAAAAGATCTGTGAGAATTATTACTGGAAAACATTGTCGTCACCCATCMAATTCAWTATGTTGTAAATTGAAAAGATTGAAGTTCTTTGATWTGGTTGATTATAATATTCTACWGGTTGTGWATAAGGCCCACAAAAACACATTACCTTTAAACATCCAAGTAAATTYTGTTAAGAGAAAGTGTTGTTACAAACTTAAAGGGACAGAGATATTAGTAAAACCTAAATTCAGAAGTAGTTTGAAGGAACGGTGTACTTTAGTTCAAGGAATAAAACTATGGAATAATCTGGGGAGTGATGTAAAAAAACGCAGGATCATTGTGTACATTTAAGAAAATGATAAAAGTTGGATTGTTAAAGAAATGTGTAACAGTATAAGGTGTTGTTCTAGAGGGATTAGATGTTCTTGTCTTTTGTTTTGTTAATAACAGATTTTTTTGTTATATGAATTTATTCTAGAAAAGAGGGGCGTATTATAAGATTTTTTCTTCTCTCTGCTGCCTTTCATTTCATCTTATTTGTGATTTTGAAATACATATTTTTTCTG